TAGAGGTGTCCGTGATATGGAGGTGTCTGTAATATAGAGGTGTCTGTGATATAGAGGTGTCTGTGATATAGAGATGTCCATGATATAAAGATGTCCATGATATAGAGGTGTCTGTGATATAAAGTTGTCCGTAATATAGAGGTGTCCGTGATATGGAAGTGTCTGTAATATAGAGGTGTATGTGATATAGAGGTGTCTGAATATAGAGGTGTTCGTATTATAGAGTTGTTTGTAATATAGAGGTGTTCTAGAGGTTCTTGTCATATAGAGTTCTATATTGTTTTCGTTGTAGGTGTTTTGGATCTCTGGGTTCTTCTTCCCTCAGGGTTTTCTTACAGGAACTCTTCAGAACTTTGCTCGAGCGTACTCGATATCCATMGATGTYATTTCATTCGACTTTGAGGTAAGACACTGGTTTCTCGATTTGGACTCACACCTCATTAGCTAATCAAAATGATGGATTCCAGATATTCCTCAATTTGATGAATAATTAAAGTATATTTTCCATATTTCTTAGGTTTTGAAACAAAGCGAAACAGAAATCACGTCTCGTCCCAAAGACGGTTGCTACATTCGAGGTCTGTTCCTCGAGGGAGCCCGATGGGATTCCGAAACGCACGAACTCGCCGAGTCAAGACCGAAGGAGCTCTTTACTGACATGCCGGTCATTTGGTTGAAGCCGATGGCGAATCGAGAAAAACCCGAATCGGGGATATACGTGTGTCCTGTCTATAAGACACTAACTAGGGCTGGTAAGTTTTCTTGTTGTTATTTATGCTTGCTGGTTTGTGATTCGCGATATATGTTGCCTAACCATGCTTCGAGCCCAATCGATGTCGATCGTCCCAAGTCAATGTCGATTTGTGTCGAATCCAATTAATTTCAATGTGTCGATTGGTGTCGACCCAAATCGATGTTTTCAAGTTGTCGRTTTGTGTCGASCCCAATCAATGTCGATTTGTGTCGAACCCAAGACATTGGGTACGTCATTAATTCRTGTRTCGATTCAAATTRAAAGCGTAGAAAAAGGTCTGATGACATTGCATTCACTATTACTGTCGAAAATATATTTGTGCATTAAGCWTGAATCAGYGTCTGGCGCTGCTTTGCGCCTTCAATGCTACAGTCGGGCCGAACTTAATTGATTCATAAAACAAGCTGTTCGTGTGCTAATTTTAAACTATTTGGTTTATCACGGCAATAAAACGACGTATAAACAAGACGTTACATTGTTCGCTTGATTCATCACTGATCACATGTTCACCAGTGCTTACTACCAAACATCAWTCGATAGCCCTTCAAAGACTTCTAACACTTTTCTGTATCTAACAGGTACTTTATCCACTACCGGTCATTCTACAAACTTTGTCCTCTCCATTGAGGTCCCAAGCAGTAAGACACAAGATCATTGGATCAAACAGGGCGTGGCACTCATGTGCGCGCTGAATTATTGATTCTTACTACGCATGCTCACACCGTGTGACTCGATCAACAAAAATTAAAATATTCTTCTCTGTTTGTTCATATTTTTATAAAAATTTCAAAGCTATGTATATATGTTTATATCGCAGTGTGTGGATATTTTATGAGTTGAAATAAAGATATGTTAATGCATACATTTCTGTTGTTTTGTTGTTGTTTTTTTTTTGTTGTTGTTGTTGTTGTTGTTTTTTGCTTACTTGTTTGTTTTCTTTTGTTTTGTTTTGTTTTGTTGTTTATTTTTAACAAAATATGTATGATGTGGTGTGGATTGTAAAATGTTAAAGGGACACTGTCAATGGATGGCATGCGCAGTAACAGTCTTGCCTCKAACGGACTTTGAAAGTATTACCTTCGAGGTAACTCAATGTTTTGACACACTTTGGAATATTCTAGATCTGTTTACGTTTACGAGTACTATTTTGGTCATGCGTCACGCCAACTTGGAGTCGTAAACTTGCGCATGCATGCGTGCCATTGACAGTGTCCCTTTAATACAGTTAATCCCATTACATAAAGTGCATCTAACCCCTTATAAGTAGCCTCGAAAGAAGTATGGAAACAAGTGTGACGTCAACCCAGACAATAAGACGATACCTTCTCAGATATTTAGTGTATTGTTAAAACCGTAAAAAACACACTGATTCGGCATTTTTAACTCAAAAATCTATAAAAMCTCAMCTACCGAYAGTRTTTGCATGATGTTTTCGCAGTATCTGATACTRGGTTGACGTCACAAGTCACGTRATACCTCGGGGAGCTCGAARWACCTTTTCTTGTTTGTTTAAAAATTTGTAAAAAATCGGGATTTCAATAAAATTGTGTCATTTTTTCGCCAAAGTTCTAAGCAACCTACCCAATTTTAGAAATGCGTCAAAATGGGTCACTTTTGACGATTTTGGCGGGCTATAGCACATGCATTTTGATCAAAAATGGGTCAATTTTTACAGTTTTGGTCGGCTATAGCACATGCATTTTTATCAAAAATGGGTCAATTTTGACGATTTTGTGGGCTATAATGCATTTTCATCAAAAATGGGTCAATTTTGACGATGTTTGTGGGCTATAGCCCATGCATTTACATCAAAAATGGGTCAATTTTGACGATTTTTGCGGGCTATAGCCCGTGCATTTTGATCAAAAATGGGTCAATTTT